CTAGTATCATTCTGTTTTCCTGTTGTGCACGTCATAAGGTTGTATATTGAGGTATTCAAACAACCGATCATTGTATTTTAAACATTTATGAACACATGTTAAAACTGACCGTAAACATTTATTGTTTATTTCAGAAAACAAGAATTTGATTGTGCTTATTAGACTATAAGCCAGTATGATTTGCATTGATATCAGTAATATCTCAATCATCTTCACAATCTAGTTAAACTAGTCTACTCTGTAATTACAACATTGATTGCGTCAAAGATATTTATCATTTTTTTCCGAACCAATTGAATCACTAGGATCTTACTGAAGTTTCTTTTTTTCTCAGGAACTAAATGTTAAACATATTTCTTCGGAACTTTCCAATTCTTTTTCTATCTTAATGTTTATGGTTTACCTAGAAGTATTATAAAACAATGATTCTTCAGTGATGAATGAATTATCTTTATTTTTTTCTGGATAAATTCATAATCAATTGAATACAAGTGAACATTTGGTGTTTTCAACAAGCTTTTAATAAGGTCATACACTATTGTGTTTCGCTATAGTTAAAAAAAAAAAGAAGATTTAATGGAATGTTTTTTCTCTCTGTTCTCACAGAAAGATTTTAGTTAGTTGATCATAAATAAAACCGTTATTTTTCACAAACCATTAAATAAAATTTGTCTATAGTCTTATATCCTACTGTCTTGTCCTATTGTGATATATACTTCCTATGGTATATTAGGCCCACTATATGAATGAGAAAACTATTGAAGTAAGAATGTATGGTTTCCAAACTCAATTATAATGTATACATATAACAGATATTCATATATTTGTTCTTTGTGACTTGTATTCACTGTTCATAAATACTTCAAAAAGTTCTAGAATTTGGATAATTAAATGTATGAGATTTGGTTATGTGAAGATGTAATATTACCGCGTAGGATTGGATCACGGAGATCTAGACTTCAACTAATTAACTGTTCCACGTTACCTAGCTTTCAACGGTTCGTCATAATATGATTACTCCACTTTTTTAGACATGTTAAAATCGCTATTAACCAAAGATGATTCAAGTATGATTTATGTTGTAATCGTTTTTAAAGTATTGATCATTTCATTATTCCGTCATTTTATGTAGTACTGTAGTGAACAAGAACACCAGTAGGGACAATCGAATGTATGTGACACAAAATTACAGAGCGTCTCAATAAAATGCCGAGCTATTGCATCTTCCAAAGAAATTGAGGCTGTGAGGGGCTTGAGCCCTTAACTGTGCAACATCTCAATAAAATCTGCGAACCATATAGTAAATCATTAATTTGCAAAATATCAATCCATTGTCTCAAACTTGACTGTTCCTGTTGCAAACATCAATCCACTGTTTCAGATTTCATTGTTCATACATTTTCATACCGATTGCGTCCCGTTTCTGTTCTCTCCTCATCGACATTCTACTGAAATATATTCGATGCCTGACCGCCGTTATATACTACTTGTGTGGATATAAGTAACCCACACCACAGTACTACACACTTGACAAGAAAATTTCGGTTATTTTCTGCTTATTTAAAAGTCCTTCAATCTTTAATCGGTATACAGCTAATTTCTGCTTTCAATAATCTTAGCTCAGAATATACTTTCATCTAAGAAAATCATTTTATCAGCTCCAAGTACTTTCGACTTTTAATTTAGTGAACTGTGATAGTAGTCTATTACTTTGATTAATTTACTCATTTATCAGCGCTTATGAGTCGCAATGTTAAGGTATTGTTACATGATAACAATATAACCAAGTTGTTGATTATGATTTCCTATGAAGTTCTGGATATTCATTCTTGAAGAGTCTCAAGCTAGGACAAAACAGTTGTCCAATGCTTCCTGGTTTTAAATAGATCTCCAGCTAGTTTTATACCATGAGATAAACTACATCCGAAGTGGAATTGATTACATTTCCTTTGTCTTACCATATATCCTTTTTCGATTCATTTCCCTATATCTGCTTTTTTTATACAAGTTTGTTGTGTTTTTGAATATCAGATAACAAGAAGAACACAGTTGCAATTTGTTCTTCAAACTTATAAAAAATCTATAAAATAATTCAATTCTGGTAATCATAACATACTTATACGGCAAGAGATTCTCTGAGATTCGCTTATGAATTATAACTCTCATTCATTGGAAGAAATACTATTTTCAAGATTGTTGAAACTTGTTAACACCATATATATGCTAGAAATAAAGATCGATTGCTTTAGAATCTTTAAATGTTCAGTTATGCAAAAGCAATATCGAAAATGTACAGAGTTAGAGGGCTTATGGAGATTGTTCAGTTTGATCAAAGTAGAATGCGACGGATATCTCGCCGACCATATTTTGATTTTTGGTGGTTGGAGGCAGTTGGCAGGAAGCTTTTCTATAGCAAAGTGTAGTTGCAGTCTTACGGTAACTGATTTTACCTATGAAGTGTTACGATTTAAGGGTTTACCACAACTACATAGATATTTTTAAATATAACTCATCATGAAATTACAAATGTGTGTACTTGACTGTCCATCATAAGTGATGCGTTAACGTCAGTGGTATCAAATGGCTAATGGAACCTAAGTAACTCAATTCAATAGAGTTGTGGAGATTGTAGTATTTTTAACAGTTAAATTCACGAGTTTACCTAAGCTAGATCACATTTGAAAGCCTTGCGTCACCGGACTGCCATTTCGTCCTAGCATGGGAACCACGTTCCTTCACGCAGGACTCGAACCCAGGACTTTCGGTCTTGCTCGTGAACGTTTAACCTCTATACCACTGACCCGACATCCAAGGGTGTTATTGTCTAACTTCAATGATCTAGCTTAAATTGACTCGTGAATCCAATTGCTAAAAGTACGGCGATCTCCACAACTTCCCTTACTGATAATAACTATGTACTCACTAGTGACTAGCTTCAAGATGGATTTCCTGGGGTTCTAGTGAGAAGAAATGACCACTGGTGTTCAATCAGTGTCGCGTATGAGATGGTTATTCACCTCAGACAACAGATCATGGGTTGATTGAAGTTAGACATTAATACAGTTACATACCTGTATTCTGGTGATCGAATGTTCAGAGCTTGAACCACTAAACCATCGTATGACACATGTACATATGATGCCCAATAGCCATATACAACAATGTGTGTAATTGGCTTTAAGTCACCCTTTATGCATGCTCTTTGAAAATAAAATAACGACTAAAGCTAAATGAAACTATGGATTGGATGTAGATTCCTTTGAACAGTTTTGAATCAATTCACACATTATCATAACATTTTATTTAAATAGCACTTAATTATAGCAATATGCATTTGACCAAAATATTTAAATAATGTTCTTGATTGAGATCATGAATCGATTGATGTTAGACCACCATTAAAAACCTGAAATTACTGAACAGTCATTTCGTCCTATTATTTGATTCTTCAGTACTGAGCATCCATGATCCCTCTCGCGGGATTCAAACCCAAGTAATCAGAACTGACTAACTCAAGTGACATTCTTCAGGGCTGTCCACTCTCTACATTCTTGTTCAACTTTGTCATTGGCGTACTTTTAGAGATAACACTCTCCTCATCTAAATTTACAGGGGTTGAACTTCTACCGGGAGGTTCACTTGTTGACTTAGAATATGCTGATGACATAGTTTTATTTGGCGAAGACGCTGACAAAATGCAGTCTTCTGATCACTCTAAGCAACAATGCAAGCATGTTTGGGATGCGATTCTCCCACTCGAAATGTAAAAAGGTGCTTCAGGATTGGGTTTCATCGACACCCGAACTAATGATAGGGAGTGAAGTAATTGAGCGTATCGATCGCTTCACTTATCTTGGAAGTCTCATCAGCCCTTGTGGTTTAGTGTGTGACGAAATCTCAGCACGGATACAGAAGGCTCGACTAGCTTTTGCCAACTTGCGTCATTTATGGTGTAGGCGAGATATCCGTCTATCAACAAAAGGACGTGTTTACTGCGCAGCAGTACGTTCCGTCTTACATTATGGCAGTGAAACGTGGCCGTAAGAATAGATGATATTCGTAGGTTATTAGTATTTGATCATAGGTGTCTTCGAAACATTGCTCATATATCATGGGACCATCGAGTAAGTAACGCAGTTGTTAGGAAACAGGTACTAGGTAAGGATGACAAACCAATTGATGAAGTAATGAAACTTCATCAGTTGAGATGGCTTGGACACGTGTTACGTATGCCCAACGACCGACTGCCTCGACGTGCGATGATTCATGGTATAGGAGTAGGTCGGAAGAAAGCTAGGGGCGGCCAGATTAAAACATGGCACAAGTCCATGAAGTCACTGACAAGTGGACTGAGTCGTGTTGATAGGTGTAGACTACCTGGTTGCGGACCGCGAGATGATAGCAACTGATGGTTAGAGACCCTGAATGACATGGCTCGAAATCGTTTGCAATGGTGCAGGTGCATCCACTCTTTGTGTTCTTCCAAATTCTAATCTTCTGAATTCTTCATATGCGTTTTCTTTTTCTCTTTTCAAATTTATTTCACTGTATTATACTCTTTGAATAACATTTTCAAACCTTCATCTTTCTGATTACTACTTATACTCTTACTACTTCTACCACTGACGGATTTGAATCGACAATTGTATCTATGTTCTAATTTGGTATGTATGTACGAAGTTCTACGCTGTTACTGACTGACTGACCAAATTAATGGTCTAACATCAATCAATTCATGATCCTAATCAAAAACTTAATCACATCTCCACAACTCCGTATTGATATTTAAAATGAATTTACTTTCTTTAAAAATAAAAAAAAAAATTGAAATAATTAAAAATGAGTATAAACTCAAATATTCATTTATCTATTTGAGTTATTATTCTAAAATGTACTTTGATACATTCACCTTCTTATAAAAAAATGGGTCAACATAAATCAACTTATTCAAGATTTGGATATAAATCAATCAAAGTTCTTATTAGATTAGTAACCAATGAAATAAATGAATTATGAATTGAACATTCTTTTTGAATTATATTTTTGGATAAGATAAAGTATTAAAACGTGAATTAATTGGATTATCAAAATCATCATCATTATCATTATCATCATTATTATTTTGTTTATTTAAATTATATGTAATTTCAGAATCTTTTATATTCCAATTTTTATTTGAACTATCAACATAACTTAATGCTGATTGTGGTAAATCAGGCATATAACGTGGTTCTGTATAAACATTTGGTTCATTGAATGTAGAATGATGTGATACTGGAGGTGGTGGTGAACTAATACCCATTTTCTCTTCATCATTAAGTAAATGTTCATTTGTATTCTGTTGATGAATTAAATCATTTAATTTAATATAAGTAATAAAACTTATTGTAAAACTAATAAATGTACAAATAAAACTTAAAACTCCAACAGCATAAGCCCATGATAATGTATTCAATTCAGGATAAGGCATCCAACGACTATCATATCTAGCTACAGCAAAAGCTACTAATGCAGCAGCTAGTGTTAAACCTATAATTAAGAAACAAAGGAGAAAAAACACGCAATTTTGTTACAATCAAGGGAATATATTAGGTAGATAAATGGACATCACATAAAACCAATGGATTAACTTTAACCCCAACCATTGCTGCTACCTTGATATTGTGGTCGGTCTTGCCAATCATTATGAACCGATCGGGTTATACTGGCTGGAACAATCGTTCCTCAAGGTCCTACCATGCCAAGCAAGTTGGTTGAAGAGCGGTAAGACTAAAAGCAACAAACTTAAGGTCCGAGGGTGACGTCGTACTACTGACTTTACAGAGGTGTGACTGAAGTAGAGCGTTTCCTCCAGACAACTAGCATAACGATGATGCTGTCTTCCTACAAGGAAGAGTGAGGTTAGAAAAAGTCAACCTCGAAAATGCACACATCTCCCAACAAGTATGGGGCTAGCAAGAACATTACTCACAAAAAGGTCATGTGTGACCAGTTTCAAGCAGTTGTCGCTTGGGCACTGTATTCACGCTCTCAGGTCACTAAGACCAACTCTAATCCAATTTCCTTTTCAGGAACCACTAGAAGAACCCTTCCACGATGTGGGCAACCGGGAAGTGAAAACCGCCCCCATATCTCGCACAGCATTCAAGATCACTATATTCATCATCAGTTTCCTTATCTCTCTAGATTAGTTTTAATAACAAAATACCTGTAGTTCTCTAGATATAGTACACATAGATCTGATATTGACTAAAGTTAATCATATATACTACTGGATTTTTATTCTCTAGTATAAAAGGGTAATGCTTACCTCCAAGTGCATTTGGAGCTACGAGTATTCACTGGTGAAAAAAAGTGTCAATTGCTCTCTGTTTTTCACTGGTTGTTAGTTGATGTGAATTAATAATAAAACCTATTCGTTATACAGTAATAAGTTATGATTACGGTAAAGTTGGTTTGTCAGCGTCTGGATATTAACAGTCTACTTATGTTCTGTAGTCCCATGAAATCATTAACACTTTTCCAACGCATAAACAGTCAGCTATGTGAAAGCAAGAAACCAATAACTAATAGGAAGTTTCAGGGTCAAAATCTAAACATTTGCATTGCTAACTTAGACAGGAGCGTGTAAACGGTGACTTCGACTTGATGAATAATTTAGTTGGGCACAAACTGACATTCCATTTCTCTCTTATGTATATTATGCCAATGGGATAGCACGTAATCTCTTCAAACCTGCTCGGTTTACCACTGTCTATTTCGGATCTCAACGGTTCAGGAGACAAAATTCGGTAAGGGGAATAGTTAGCTAGCAAGTACTGGGAACAGTCAGTGGTAAAGAAACTCTGCACCCAACAAATAGGCAACAGATTCAAAATGCGCTTTATCTACTTTGGTCTTTACAGACAAGAACCACCACTAGCCGTCAAATCTGGCGTTTGACTAAGATCCGAATACAAAAACCTGTACTTGGTGAGTTACATTGATGAAGGTGAAGACAGTTTTATATTGATACTTTTAATAAATATACTCTGCGATGTAATAGTATCTAACATACAACACCGTGAGTGTTATATCCAACAAACGAACTAATATCGCTTGTCATCATTGGCTAGTCTGGCTTTTAAAATACGTCTTCATATCTGAATTAACAGAGAGATGAAGTTTGAATGTGCTATTTAAAAATGTAGCAAGGTTTTAAAAAGCAACTAGGATGAGCCTAACCAGGTTTCGTGTTTGTTGGAGCTTACCAATAAGTTGGATTTATAACATTCAGTTGATTGACATTTTCACGGAGATTCAAACTTATCCAGTAGTCCTGTAGTTAAGTCCCTCATCACTCATATATACTGACTATTTTTTCGTCAAAGCTATTCGCATTTGTTTATCATATATTTTTCAAATAGTCAGCAGTGAAAATAATTAAGTTCTGATTTTGTTTATACTGACAAGGACGAGTGAAATAATTTATGCTAAATTCATAAAAGGTTATTTGAGAAGTTGTAGAGACAACACATTATTAGTTCCAAAATATTTTGATTATATGAGTACAGTATATGAAACGTGACAAAGAGTAATTAAATATTGATGTTTATTTCTCAGCTCTAACTTAATTCCATAGATATTTAGAGATTCTAAACTATGTGACTCAACATTTAGGTAGACAACAGAATCCAACCACCTAATGATCCAATAGTGTGTTCATTTATACGCTATAACCTTAATGTATATTTTATTATAAATGGTTTTAGGAAATTCATAAATGAACATGCACTATCGTTTTGAGGTGGATGTAGAAAATTCGGTAACATGAGGTGTGATAACAACTATATACATCGACTTTATTTGTAAATTTGATTGGATATTTAAACTGTTTTTCTTAATTATTTGTTTTTGGAAGATAAAGATACTTGAGTAGTAAATGATCGACTAGTTTCCAGTCTCCAATTTTAACAGGTTAACAATTTAAATAACCCATTTTATACACGTGTTTTGAAATGCTTTGTAAATTTGAGTTTGTAGTTACTTCAGTGAATAGTTTCGATGTAATCATATGTTGGCACTCAAGACAATGGAAGTAATGTAAACTGAAAGACTAGTTTGAGTTATTTTTACTACACAAATCAAACTACTTACTATTATGTAAGTATATACTATCAAATGAACGAAAAGTAAAATATGTGTAAAGGAGTATTATTATGGCTTTCGTATTCATGTCTATTAGACAAAATTATTAAGAAACAAAACACTACGTTACTAAGAAAGCAGATCAGTTACTTAGCGTTCATCATAGGATGAGGGCCGAATGAAGAATACGTTAAAATAATCTATGTGTATTTATGTTTACTTTGAAATAACATGCGAATACATAAGATGCGAATTCATGAGCGAGAGTAAAATTACGTACTGTTTTCCATCTCGAAATCAAAAACGGTTAGTGGGACAAATATATCGATTAGCAAAAAAAACAGTTTTTAAAGTTCGAATTATTTCATACAGTTTAGGAAATGAAGTTTTACGATTGCTAAATATTCTCTTCAATATAGGTATGACATTTAAGTTAGTGAACAGCGATTATAGAATTAGTAGTTAAACAGATAGCCAAGAGAAAGCTGATGAATAATGGTACTGCCATCAACCAAACGAAAAGAATTATTGATCACCATATTTTTTGAATATATTTATTCTTCTATATATGAGTAAATAGCTTTCTTTTTTGGTGGAGTTTTGTTCTTTGAGCTGGATGGTTTGGTCGCAGAGCTTTCATCGTTCTTCTGAACGACATCATCACCACAAACTTCAAGTAGAAGTAAGTAAATAGCAAATGTTAATAAAAGTATGCTCGTTGATCGATTTTGTTATACTCGATTAATTGGCATAATCATAAATTACAGGCGTATATGTATAAATGATAGAACAGCCTTAATAATAAAGTCGCCGAGTACAGATCTTTCTTCTGGGCTCAACCCTTGTTTCCAAGTTAAGCTATATTTATTCAAATTTACTATCTACACATAATTTTGAAAAAGTATATTTAGTTTGGCTTAAGTATACTACACTTAGTGCTAGTAATAAAACAATAACATCTGTGCTCATATTAACGTCGTGGTTTCAACTTCATTTATTTTCGCTGTCCAGTTCTTCTAGGTTTTCAAAGATTGTTTAATTTAGATCGGTTCGTGATTTCAGTGAAATTCAGCAATCTTTAAAACACTATACCGACAATTCCTACATTACCTAAAACTAATTAACGCCAGTTTTCCCAATCATTTAGGTCGCCTACCTTTCCAATTGCACAGATATTCCAGAAAGACTGTTCTAATCTTGTTTGAACTAACCAAAGTACAACCGTACTCGTGCGCTACCATTAAAGGGTTACAAGTTGTGTGATGGTGAATACTCGATAACTCAAACAGGAATAATGGAGTTCTTGACAAGTCTTCATTTTTTCTTATTTCTTCTTTAACATAATGTGGAATATATTTAAGCACCGGTAAGACTATAATTTATGGACGATATTCGAGCAACGCCAAAATAACCTTGGAATGTCCACCTACTCAATAGGGTTGAATGAGGGTCATATATTATGATGAGGAATTAGGATTAGGATTTACAGTTGAACGTTAGAGTTAGTAATTAGATTTAATGTTTTCATCACGAACTGATATCAGCTATAGTGCCGAAATGATATTTAGCCAAATGAGTGAATTAACTTTGCGCCAAAATGCAAGATCTGCTATTTTAAATCTGATCGGTTCATCCATAAATTATAGTCTCGCCTACAAGTAGAAGATACTGACCTCAGTATGAAGTTAAAACAATCATAAAGGAATTTCGGCAATTTCTTGGTCAATTAAAAAAAACAGCTTTAGTAAGTTGATAGTTTATAGAAAAAATATTATAGTGTTAACAGATTTTATCTAATTATAGGAGCTGTTGAAGTTATCGACTAGTGACAGCCTGTAAGTCGAAAAAGCAACAGGGTATAAACTTGGTCTTACGGATATAGATTATCTGTCTTCCGTAGCCTTATAAGGACTCAAATACACTTTTAATTATCCTCATACTGTCATCGGTTAGAGTCAGGATCAAGGATTAAGAGTTCAGGTTTTCATCACCAACTGATATCAGTTACCGTGCAAAAGTGTTCTATAGCTTTATGGTTGAGTAATTTTCACTCAAAAATTTAACAGCACTTATCTTAATCTGTCTGGTTTATTCATTGCAGCTAAACTATACTTTGTTTTGGTAATAAGAGCTTACGATCAAGATATGTAGTTTGTTTTTTTATTAGCTGTTGCGTACAATCTGTAAGGAATAATTTTGTGTTATCATCTCAAACATTCTGAGCACTATAAAAAGGTGGTTCTACTGCTTATTTAACATGATGTAAAGTAGGAGTCATTCATTTTCGAATTTCGCATCAAAATCTAACAATCGTTTTTATCAACTCTGATTGACTTGTCTCTATACTACACTTTTACCATAATTATTAAAAAATATCCTTAAAATATGTTTGGATTATTTAAAACTTGAATATACGTTGAAGAGATATTTATTGTGATAATGCGCAACTACCGCAGAGAATTCTTTACTGTACAAAAGTTGATCCTATTAAATAAATCTATCATTGGTACTATTGTTGTAGTATGTACTTTTGTAGTAGCATATATCATCAACCGAAAGTGAAATGCCTGGAGGCAGAAGATTAAGAAAAGGGGACGAGAATAAAGAATGTTTAGTGTAGAAACGAAAAGACAAAGAAGTCTGAAACAATTGACTGATATTTGCAAAGGAACAGTCAAGTTTGAGACAATTGATTGATATTTTGTAAATTAAGTATTTACTGTACGGTCCTCAGATTTTACTAAGATATTCCGTAATTTTGTGTTTACATACATTCGATTGTCCTCATTTGTGTTCTCGTTCACTTCACTATAACTTCATTCTTACAAAACTGAATTGTTTGTTTGCAACTTAGAATACTTCGAAAGTTTGTTAAAAGCTATACACAACTCGTTTACATCTTACGCTTGGAACAAACTTTTTGTAATTTCACTAACATTTAAACTGTTTAGATGGATATTTTATTTTAGTTATGGAGTAGTCAAAAAGTGGTGTGATATCAATGAAACTACTACTTTTCTAAGTTTTTCATAAAGATATACCGAATGAATACACTGACAATTTATTTCTTAGTAAAGCATTACTAATCATCGTTATTTCGTAATCAGTTTCATCTGAATAGTCAAGACTCACTACTTAACGATTATATTTTCATTTCGATTCCCTGTTTTCTAATCTATACCACTTTTCATATTTGCTAAAACACTGTCAGTGTGCACTTCAGTCGCTTATGTTCAAGATCATGATCTAAATCAGAATGAATAAATTTAAAAACAAAATTACCAAGCCTTTCTCAACCTGTGGTTTCTCAGTTACACTCTATCACTGCGTCTTCAGTAAATAACTTCTTACTTCACTTCATATCAGGATGATTCCTGCCAATACAAAATGCAAGTTGAATTATTTTTTTAATGACATAATTATTAGACCAGTCTTCACAGAGCTATTATGAATATATCATTTCAGTGTTCTGGTATTTGAAAACATATGTACTTTTCGGTAACTTTATAATCTCAATTCAAAATTAAATCCTTCCTTTGCTCATTTATTGCAGTAAATAATGTAGTTATACCATAACCTCAAAACATACAATACTTACCTTTACATGTTTGGATGGTTAAGGCCACTAAATAATTATAGGCATGAATGTCACAGATGTTAACAGTTTTTTAAAAAAACTTTTTTCAACAGAACTCTATATTTTTACTGGATAATAAATGCTTTGTATAAAATTACGTGTCCCTACAAGCTACTGTGATAGGATTTTAAGGTTATATTTCACCCAGTTAATAACATGACCCATTTAGTTCACTCTTCTCATTGGAGTCATTAGGTGAATAAAATGAGTACAGATCAGTAGTTTACTTTTCTCTAGTTTTTAAATGACCCTTCAGATCTTACGAACAACATAAAAGAGAAACAAATTTTTTACCAGTATAGGGTTGTGGATATGATTAAGTTTTTGATTGGGATCATGAATCGAGCTAATCAATGTCAGTTAAAGACAGGTATACACTTTGGTACAATGGAAGGTGCTCGCGCAACTTCGTGGATTGGTTGAGGTTAAACATTAACACTGTTGGATACCGGCTCAGTGGTCCAGAGGTTATACGTTCGCGTGCGTCCAGTGCTTCCAGGTTTTCAATGATGGTCTAACATCAATCGATTCATGATCTCAACCAAAAAGAAATTTTATCGCTGAATTTTGCGTAACATAAACGTCTAAAAGTGAATTTTTCATAGCCAAATTAATTTTGGTTAAATAAGCGTCTACTTTTAGATCTTATGTACGGTTATAAAATACTCAACCGAGAGGCAAGATCACTAATAAGTTAGTGAATTTCACAACAGAAACTATTATTAGTTCGCTTTCATCTTCTTGCTGAAGCGTAAGCACACCCGAATACAATGTATTTCATAGCAGATATGCTGTAATGTTAATGAAACCTGTTTTTTGTAACTAATTATTCTAAACCATGGTGCCTATGTTTAGCAAATGATCTGGTAGTAAATCCCTAACCACTATGTCTACAGTCCAAAGGTAATCTATCTAATAAGTAGTCAGGTGATAACTGTACGACTTAATTTCAGTTTTTATTTTCGTTATCCAGATACAAAAAAGTCACATAATACTTACTTGTGAAGAAATGTCCTGATGCAATAAATTTTAGACTTTTGAGGTCAGATTTAGAAATTGCACCGGTTACTTGACACAGAACGATAAACGTTACCAAAAAATGTACCAAAACTCCACAGGATGAGGTAACTTGTATTGTATATAACCATACTGTCAATTTATTAAAAAAGGGATATAAATAATAATTAGCTGTCAGCAAAACATGTCAACAATCTAATACAGTTACAGAATGTGTGAAGCTTGAGAAAGGATAGTTTTAGATCCATATTGCTTTAACCTTTTACTTGCACTTCAGCGTTTGATGCAGAAAAATTACTTAGTTATAATTAAAAAAGGTATAGAACAATCCCATAGGAAATTAAAGTTCAAACATGATAATTAATCAATCTAATCATAACAAACGCTGAAATTCTAACTTTATACAGTTTCTGATGAAATCAAGATAGAACTCACGATAAAAGTGTACAAATTTCACTTTTCGAAAAGTGTAGCCTGTTTTGGATTTATCATACGCAACTTTACTTACTTTATAATATTTTTGTCAATAGCTAAGATTTACAAATATTGTATAGCTCTAAAAAACGAGGATACAATTGATTAGTACCGGTCTTGGCGATGAATAAACTATCTTATAAATTGATAAGCATAGTTATAACTAACGAAATACCCATATCATAACGAACGTAAACCGTTTATATCTTATCACTGTTTTTTAGCTCTTAAGCGACTGATATGAAGAGAAACGAGTATAAAAAAGCCTTTAACGAAAAAAGATAAATTAGCTTTGATAACACTTGTGGTCAACCTGGGTTATATTGTGAATTTTCAAACACAATTGTCCGTTCTTTACATATTTAGTACGTAGATGTAACTCAGTTTTCGCATAGAAAATATATTTCCCATTTAGTGACCTAGTTAAGAATTCAAATAAGCATTTTCTAACTGATTAGCTTGCTTTAAAATAACTATGCTTGTTTACGGACCTGATAACATACCAGCTGAAGCACCGAAGTCAGATATAAAGGTAACTGTGAACATGCTCCACGCTCTATTCGGGGATATTTGGGAACAGAAAGAAGTGCTGATAGACTGGAAAGAAGGATACCTCGTCAAGATACCAAACAAAGGAGATCTGAGCAAATGTGCAAACTACAGAGGAATCAGGTTACTTTCAGTTCCGGAAAGGTTTTAAACAGAGTGTTGCTGAACCGGATGAAAGGCTCAGTAGACGCTCAACTTTTTGATCAACAGGCTGGATTCCGTAAGGATCGGTCGTACACAAACCAAATCACAACTCTACGAATCGTCGTTGAACAATCAGTTGAGTGGAGCTCATTGAATATGAGAAGGCGTTTGACAGCATGGATAGGAGAACCATATGGAACCTTCCTCGACACTATGGTGTGAGTAGATGAGTAAATCGTCAACGCCACTCAAAATTCATACGACACACTACACTGCAAAGTGGTGCATAGCGGACAGCTGACAGATGCATTCCATGTGAAGACCGGTGTCAGGCAAGGCTGTTTACTCTTTCTCTTCACTATATTGTTTGACCGGATTATGAAGACCTCCATATCACAGAAGAAGCACGGAATACAATGGACAGCTTGCATGCAACTAGATGATTTGAACTTCACAGATGATCTAGCTCTTCTATCCCATACACTCCAATAAATGCTGGTCAAGACAGTCAATGTAGCAGAAGCCTCTGTATCAGTGGGCCTCAACATAAACAAGGCTATCTGCAGAAGGTTTGAATACCGCGATCGAATAAACTCAGGGTGCGTCTCTGTTTAGCCTATCAATAACTGGATCACCTTGCCAGGAGATGTTATGTCAGCCCCATCGGTTAGCGCCTTCAACAAAAAGCTGAATCATCACTGTGAAAAGAGCCACAAGTATTAAAGCCGACCAACAAGTCTGCCACTTTTATCACTTGGTGTTATTTGAGTAAGTACTGGTCAGCCCGTTGGATCTCTATTTCTGCTACTTAAAAATCTTAATCAGGTAAACCCTAGCTTAGTTCATATTAGACTTACATAAGTTGAACGTAAGAAGGCATTACTGTTACCAGCGAAAATCTATTTTGTTTCTCACCGAACTTGTGGAGTCCTTACCTGTGAACTCACATTTGAAGGTTGTACACTTATGCTCGATGTTATCTATCTTAGCCAATCTGCTTAGTTGGTGACTTTACTTTGGAGCGCATTATAGTATGAAGTAAAAATAACACGTGTGATATTAGGATATCCGAATGGACGTGATACTAGTTGGACAGAGATGTTCACGGTGGGAAACTCTTTCAACAGTATTCTCTTGATGAATGTAATGGACTACCTTTAGTACAGTGTGTATTCGAACCCAAAAGTCTTGGCTTAAAGCAAGAATCTTCTTCTTTAGACTTAGTGATAGCTCATAAGACCAAGGATTTTGCCTATATAAAACTTCTCTCACTGTTAGCAAATAGCGATCATGACGCTTTGTCATTCATGTTTAGGGCTCGTGATATAGTATGTGATCTGGTTAGACTTCGCTCAAACGTGTCGAGAGCAAGCATAACAGCCGAACAAGAGTGCGTGGCAACAACAGACTGGTCGGTAAGTACCAGATCATCAATTGAAGGAAAATGATATATATTTAGAGGTACGCTTAGCTTCGTTACGTCATCATTTATACAGTTCTTAATACCACATAGATCTAATAACCGCTCACCGTGGATAACTAATGGGGTCAAAAAACATCTTGAATGTGAATAAAGCATTAGAATATCATAATCTCTACAGATTCTGAACAGTACAGACATACCTACTGTAAAACTAAGGACACATTCAAAGAGTTGATAAGTAAGGCTAAACAACGTCCTGGATTGCAAAAATATTCTGAAAACATTGATCTCATATATAAAGAAGCGAATTCAGAAAAGTGGTGGGATGCAATCACTTTTGGTACTAGAAAGTCCATTGATATTGGCAAGAAATGATATTGCAAAAGCTGAAGGCTTATCAAAATATTTTAGCAGGGTTTCTCACCGATGATCATAAAAGATCAACAATTATATATAATAAAAGCGGCTGGTCGACAGATCGTCCGGTTATTGAGAAAGGGGCTGTCTTACGGTCACTTTTACATCTCAAGCCAGATAAATTCGGTGGTCCTGACGGTATTCATTATAGGTTTATAAAAGCTCTGGAGGATATAATTGCTGAAGCTCTGGCAATATTGCTTGATGTCTTTGGGGCAGTTTAAACTGCCAAGAGATTAAAAAGACGCAATTATCAGTCCTGTTTATAAAGCAGGGGGTAAAAACGTGGTTAGTAACTGTCGATCTGTCAGTCTAACCAGTATAGTTGTCAAGCCTATGGAAAAGATTGTTCGGATATCTATTCTAAATTATGCGAAAGGCAATTATTTTTTGGCCACGTAGAAAAATAGTTTTAGAGAAGGCCTATCATGCCTAGCAAATCTGCTCATTGCAAAAGAATATCAGGTTGTAGCGAAAGATAGAAATATTCCCGTATATGTAGTATTCATATGTCTGAGTAAGGCCTTTGAAAAGGTTTCTCGCCTCAGGTTTAAACTAAAACTTAAAAGTTTTTGGATCCATTATGAAATCATAAGCTGGATAAGTGACTTTCTCAATGACAGAAAACAGTGAATACGGGTTGATGGGAGTCTGTTAAAAGTAGGGTTCCCTAACTACAATTCTCAGTCTCCTTCATTTTCTACCGGACGCGAATGACTTACCAACTCTATCAAAGTCACCCGTTTTACTCTTTGCAAATGACATAAAGATTTGGGAGACCTGTATATAGTATGTCAGACAGAATAATATTACAGGATGACCTAAATTCACGGGTCGAATGGATGGGTAAATGGTCATTAGAAGTTAACTCTAGCAAGGGTGTAGTGATGCAAATAAATAACCGAGATGATTTATATCACTACAAAACATATGGAGTTGTGTTACCTAAAGTAATGAACTATAAAGATTTAGGAATCACAATAAACAACGACCGCAAGGCTAAGAGTAACTGCAAGGCTGCCGCTGCCAAAGGCTTAAGGGTCTTATGAGCTGTTCGTAAGTCATTTCATTATTTAAAAGAAGAAATATTCGGAGTATTATACCCGACTTTCGTGAGACCACATTTTGAATATGGGATCCAAGCGGCGAGTCCTTACATCAGGTATGAGGTGGATGTGCTAAAATGCGTGACCAACAGTTTGAAGATGACACAACTATTTAGAGTTTGACAACACCTCAACCAGTAACACCTTCTATAATCGAAACGTGCCCACCCAGTGAAATCATAAGTCAGAAGCACAGGGGTTCGATGGCATATTTGATAAGTTATCAACATGTTGAGAGGCGACTGATCCAAACTGGCTAGCGGTTGTAGAAGTTGAGCACAGCGTTCCCACTCGTGATCTGGTGCGGATGAGTGACCCAGAGCCTTCAGTTAGGTGAGCCCATTAAAAACAATATGGTCAGCATCAAATGTCAAAGATTTACAGAGCTACTGATTTTGGGGATTTATTTACCGCCACGGGTCTCTCTGACCCATTTTGTGGAGACAGACTGAGACGCCCCAACGTATTTCTGTTGTATTACCGCAGGTTACGGAGTGACCTAATACTGGCCTGACGTATACTGAACGATGAATTCGGCACTAATATGTCTTATGTTTTCTCTCTATCTAGGACTGATGATCTGAGAGAACATTCTAAGAAAGTTAAGAAACCGAGATGAAATCAGGGAGTTCCGTTTCTCACACTAAGTAGTGAATTACTAGAATTCTTTACCAAAACACGTAATATCGGCACCCGTTGATACACTGAAAGCGAGGTTACGTCTTCATAGCACAACAAATTTTAAGGATTAATATAGATCTATTGACCGCCCCCCTACTTCGACTACTGAAGATTGAAACAGATAGAAAAGTTGGGCCTCCTCCAACAATGATCATTTACACTTGTTAACATCCACTATGATATGAGAGGGGTGCTTGTGATAAAATCATCTTACTCGAGTAGCCATCGATGGCTTTAGTCATCAAGGAGTCTACTATAGTAGACAAGTAAATGAGTATACTTGTCTATTTGAGAACAAAATACATGATGGAGCATAAAGCACCTACTCGGATTTAACCAATCTCTTATACGGTCATATATTACATAATAAATGTAGTAACATCCGAAATATGCCTTGTCATACAGCGCCGGCCGCATATATCCATCAAAACAAACAGTCCAAAGACCTATTCTCTGGAACTGGCTGTTAGCCTCTGGAATTGACTGAATCCAGTAAGGTGATACAAATGAGATGAAGTTCGAACAAAATCCGAATGTGGTAAAAAATACTATGCACGAAAACAAATGTTTATTTTCCATCATCGGGAAGCATATTGAATAGTCGCTGCTTTAAATAAACAGCATTAGTACATTTAAACTAAAAGCACAGAAAATTGTATTGCATAGTTTTCAAGAAGACACAGCCCAGGCAACTCATAACAAAGCTCTCACGTTAAAATAAAAAGATGATGTTGTTGTCTTTATTTTTAGAAATGCAAATGGAGATCTCATGTCTAACTACTGGTCAGTTAGTTTGACTAGGATAGTTGGTGATACATAAGAAAGCATTATGTAAGACAAGTCACCTAGTTGTGTAGTACCGAAAAACCGTTTAGCTGTGGAACGACATGGATTACGTACGAAGCAACCTTATTATTTGTATTTACTGTTGATGTCACAGGTATTCAGTGTTTGACAACGCTTCTACCAGTAACACCTTCTAATATATTTCGTTCCCGCCCAGAGAAATCAAAAGACAGAGTCGAGGAGATCGGAAGAGTATATTTGGCGATGACCAATATATCGGAATTCTCTGATCTAATCTGGCTAGCGATTGCGGTTGATGTTGAGCACGGCGTTACCACACGTGATCTGGTGCGGATGCCTGACCGAGCGCCTTCAGCTAGGTGAGTCCACTAAAACATATGGTCAGCATCCAATGTCGAAAACTTAGTGCTATTTATTTTGGGGATTTATTTACCGCTACAGATCACTCCCCCCCTAGTGGGGCAGTGACGACCCTAAGACGTGGCCAGCCAGAAGTTTAAACCCAACGAGTTTGTCGTTGGTAAACACTCTTCTGATAGCTTACTAAATTTAGCAGCGTCTGGTCGTCTTTCCTTACTATATGGGACGGAGGTACAACATAGTAAGAAAAGAAAATGTACATGGAAAATTTCGGATCCTCATAAACGTCATCGTTCTTTTCCAGCCGTCCTGGAAAAGAAAAAAGAAAATGTAAGTGCATGTCGAAATACACTCGTATGTGCGTAAAAACACAATGTCGGCGGAAAAAAAATGGAAAATAAACTCATGAACACGTAATAGCGTTAAAAAAATGTTTTTTTTGTTTTGTTTTTTTTAAATAGAAATAAAAATATATAAGCATATTAAAATTGTTTTTTTTTTAAAAAAATATATAAAATGTCGAGAAGTGCCTTACGTGCAATAGTCGTTTAGATGTTCTGGAAATCTCACCCTTCTTCCAGAACGCGTCGTTTTAAGTTTATTTTCGGATACTGTCGAAGTATCATCGTGTGTGTTGGTTGTCGGATGAGGTATTATAAGTGTCGGAGTCGTGTCGTTCGATTGTACCGAAGGAAAATCCACGTAGATAGGATTTCCTTCTAAATACGCTGCTTTTAAGCGATCGATACTGATGCTATCGTTGGTTCCGTTCTTATCGACTATATAGTACTTAGATTCACGTTGAAGAACTTTGAAGGGTCCTTCGTATGCTGATTCGAAGGGTCGTCGATGCGAGTCTCGACGAACGAAAACGTGTGTACTATATCGTAAGTCAGGTTGAACGAAAACATCAGTTGATTGAGGTCGAGTGGAAGCAGGTTTAACTGAACGCATTGCGTTTGTAAGCCTGTTCGTGTAGGAGGTTAGATCCATGTTCATTGAAGAGGATGAAGGATCCACGAATTCTCCTGGAAGTCGAAGTGTCGTACCATAAACGAGTTGAGACGCAGTGTATCCAATGTCAGCTTTCACTGCATTGCGGATACCTAGTAAGACGAGTGGAAGAGCGTCGGTCCACTGTGAAACGTTTGTAGCTGATAGCGAAGCTTTCAGTTGTCGGTGAAAACGTTCTACCAACCCGTTTGCTTGTGGATGGTAGGCGGTCGTTCGGAAGCGAGTGATTCCTAAAAGCGTGGTCAGACGACGGAAAAGATCGGATTCAAACTGACGTCCGCGGTCTGTAGTGATGGTTGAAGGGCAGCCGAAGTTTGCTACCCATCGTTCGACGAAGGTGCGGGCCACTGTTTCAGCAGTGATGTCCTTGATAGGTACTGCTTCTGGCCATCGAGTGAAACGGTCTACGCAGGTTAAGAGATAAGAGTATCCATTTGAATCTGGTAAAGGTCCTACCAAATCCAGATGAACATGGTCGAAACGAGCATCGGGAGTTTTAAACGAGCCTAAGGGACATTTATTGTGTCTGATAACCTTAGATTTTTGGCAGCTTACACAGGAGCGTGCCCACTCCCTCACGTCTTTATTCATTCCAGGCCAGCAAAACCTTTCTGCTATAAGCTTGATGGTTGCACGAACACCTGGATGCGAAAGTTTGTGCAATGTGTTGAAGACATTGCGTCGATAATGTTTCGGCACGATTGGGCGATCCCTACCTGTAGATGTGTCACAAAGTAAGGTTTCCTTACCTGTTCCCATCTGTTTGATGCGTAGTTTAAGTGTTGTGGACGATAACTCGTGCTGAAGATCACTGTCTTCTTTTTGAAGCTCGGCGAGTTTAAGAAGGTCGATTCCTTGGAAACTGTTCAAGGAAGTTATGCGAGATAAAGCGTCTGCAACTACATTGTTTGCTCCAGAGATGTGTTGAATATCTGAAGTAAACTGCGAAATGTAGTCCAGTTGTCGAGACTCACGGGGAGAGTACTTGTCAGAAGGAGAGCTTAACGAGAAAGTGAGCGGTTTATGGTCCGTGAAAAGAGTGAATTCACGACCTTCGATGTGGTGTTGGAAATGCCGTACAGCACAATACATAGCTAGGAGTTCCCTACCGAATGTGCTGTACCTCGATTCGGTGTCTAGCAACCTTCTAGAGAAAAATGCCAAGGGTTGCCAGGAGTTGTTAACCCATTGTTGTAAGACTCCTCCGATTGCCGAGTCGGATGCGTCTACTGCGATGCTAATGGGTGCTCGGGTGTCCTGATGTGCGAGCATCGTTGCTTTAGCAATCAGTTCCTTAACTGTGGAGAATGCTTTTCGTGCGGTGTCGTCCAAATTAATGGATTTCGCATTTCCACGAAGCTGGTCGGTCAGAGGTTTCATAAGTAATGCGCATTTCGGTATGAAACGTCTATAGAAACTTACCAGGCCGTTAAACGTGCGTAATTGCTTGACGGTGGTCGGTTCTGGGTAATCCAGAATGGCCGCCACTTTGGTCCTAAGAGGTCGAATGCCTTGAGTATCGATAGTGTGTCCTAGGAAGTCTAACGAGTCGGTTCCGAATTGGCATTTCTGAACGTTTACAGTTATGCCATGTTTTTGAAGTCGTTCGAAAACAAGATCCAGATGCTTGAGATGTGTTTCTCTGTCCGGACTTGCGATTAGACAGTCGTCAACATACGCGTGTACGAAGTTGAGACCTCGAAAAACGTCGTCTATGAATCTTTGGAATGTTTGAGCAGCATTCCTTAGACCGAAAGGCATTCGCAAAAATTCATAGAGTCCGAAAGGAGTTATGATAGCTGTTTTCGGTATGTCGCCAGTAGCCATAGGGATTTGGTTATACGCTTTAACCAAGTCGATTTTCGAAAAGACAGTTGTACCTTTCAAGGTAGCTGTCAAATCGTGAATGTGAGGCAACGGGTAACGATCGGGAATGGTTTTCGCGTTCAATCGCCGATAGTCACCAGTTGGACGCCAATCGTTGCTGTCCTTTTTAGGGACCATGTGCAACGGAGATGCATATGGGCTACTTGACGGTCGTATGATTCCTAAGTCCATCATGTGATCGAATTCGTTTTTCCCTAACCTTAGCTTTTCCGGAGCTAGTCGTCGTGCTTTAGAGAATACAGGTGGTCCTGTAGTCGTGATGTGATGTGTAACATTGCTGGTTACACACGGTAGTTTCGGTTGAGTTTGTTGTATCCCAGGGTACTTATCGAGTAGTGGTTGATAGAGTGGGTCTATCATATGTTTAACTGTGACTGGGGATACTCTACAACCAGTAAAAGAAGTTACGCAAACGGACAAATTAGTGTTTCCGTCTACTAGCCTCCGTTTGCGAGTGTCGATGATCAGATTGTGGTGTTGTAGAAGGTCCATACCAATGATTGGCATAGAAACATCTGCAACAACGAAAATCCAGTGGATGGGTTTGCGTAAACCCACGTTAAGGTAAACGTACCTTTTGCCATACGTAGCGATCGGTTTTCCGTTTGCCGCCTGTAAGTTAAAAGCCGATTCCTGAAGCCGGTCGTTAGGATTTGCTGGAAGAACGCTAACTTCTGCGCCAGTGTCGACGAGGTAACGAACTCTCGTTGTCACATCTGTGACGAATAACAGACGGCTTTGTTCGCCGGCTACGGTTGCCGTTAACGCGCGCCGGCTTGGAAGTTTCCCGAATTGCTTTTCGAATCAGTCGGTTTCGTGTTGGGAAAATTGCAGGGTTTTCTGCAATTTCTGGAAAGCTTTCCATACTGGTTATGATACCAGCACCAGTCGGGGTTATCTGTCTCTCGTGGTCTAGAGACAGATCGCTTACGAGAAATGCTTCTACGTGGTGTGCGCGATCTCTTACGGTCGGTACGAAGACTAAGATAACGCGTGAGTGTGTGACATAAGTCGTTTATATCATTCTGAGTCGTTTGAGGTTTTTCTTTGACTGAAAATACCTCGGTAGTAGATTTCGTAATTTCTAATATGCGGTCGGCAGATGCAGCTAGCTCGTCTAAGGCATTGTTCTGGAACGAGACCAGAACTGCTTGCACCTGTTGGGGAAGTTTTGACAAGAAGAGTTGTTTGAATAGGCCTTCGTCGAAAGTTCTTGGGCCTATTACCTCTCTCATCCGTTGCAACATGTCTGTCGCAGAACCATGTTGCAGGTCGATATTGTCGAAGAGTTGATCTAACCTTTGTCGATCGGTTAGGTCTCCTCGTTTAAGAATCGAGCGTTTTAAGATTTCGTAAGGATCGGAAACATCACTAGTAAACATACTAGGTGTTACGTACCTGTCGAATTCGCGCGGTAGTGCCTTGACTACTGCGAGGAATTGTGCACGTGTGTCGATCACGCCGTGCTCGGAGAAGTCGGCTTCTGCGTAGCAAAACCAGGCTTCGATGTTGTC